GAGCTAAGAAAATAGTGAATATTTTGGTTTTTTGCCTCCGAAGTCAGCCAGTACCAGGGCATACAGAACCCTGCTAAATAGCATCCTACACCTCTGGTGAGTCACCCAATCTCCTGAGCAGGAGTAGTCCACAGAAGATAGGAGTCAACCAATGTGCATTTTGCAAAAAGATCACTAACGAGGGAAATATCCTCATGTTTCCAAGGAAGACCATATGGTCAGGCAAGACCATGACTCAGCTTGACAAATGACAGAGTTGGTAGAAAACTAGAGGAACTGGCCAGGCATGGTGGCACTAGCCAGCCTCCTAGCAATTGGGAGGTTGATGGGAACCTGAGGCATCCTGGGCTACAATTAAGTTCAAGGCCAGCCTGACCTATATGCTTTGCAAGACCCAATCTTTTTCTTTCTTTCTTTCTTTCTTTCTTTCTTTCTTTCTTTCTTTCTTTCTTTCTTTCTTTCTTTCTTTCATTTATTTATTTATTTATTTTGAGACAAGGTCTCACTGAGTAGCCCAGGCTAGCCTTAATTCCCAGCAATCCATCTGCCTCTGCCTCTCAAGTACTGGGATTACAGGTGTGTGCAACCACGTCTGGCCTTAGCACAACAGTTTTTTTTTTTCCTGGTCTTTTGTAGTCCAGATTGGTCTTGAACTTGCAACAACCCTCATGACTCAGCCTCCTGAATGTGCCACCAGGCCCAGTTTGCATGATCCTATTAACTCAAATCAAAAAACAAACTGGAGGAGCTAAGAGGCTTCTCACATAATCCCTAAAGTAACCCTGAGAAGCTCTAACTGACCTTGACAAAGTTATCCAGGTAGATTAATTTTGATTAATACAGGTCTTACTTTGACTTTGTCTTAAATACCCATATTATCCCCAAATGGAGTAATACAATAAACAAAAAAGTTACACTATATATTTAAAGAGGGCTCAAACACTGCACCAACACCTACTGGTAGTCTACAGCTGCAACTACAGTATCCTGGCCTATAGCTCTGGAGGTCCTGACTCCCAGTTCTACTAGCTCTTCCAAAGATAAGCCTATTTTAATGTATTACTACTATGTTATTTTAATGTACTGTCAAGTACCTCTCAGGTAGATTTGGCTTCTTGTATATATATGCCTGTAAGACAAGAATGCCAATAAAAATACTCTAGCTACTACTAAGCTTTATTACTTTTGGGGTATGGACTTTCTTTTACCTATTTCAGATTTTGTCTGTTCATATTACCTGGAGCCAATCACTACAAAAGGTATTCAGGTCTACAAAACAGAGGCCAGACCTTAAGATTCTGAGCTTTATAAAAATTTTAATGACCCAACAGTCATACTGAAACACAGACATCCTTTTTTTTTTTTTCCTTTTTTTATCGGTACCGGGGAGCGAACTCACGACTGCCTGCTTTCAAGGCAGGCGCTTATGCCACTGAGCTAAGCCCCCAGCCCCTAAAATGACTTTTTTTTTTTTTTTTTTTTTTTGGTCGGTACCAGGGATTGAACTCATGACCAAGCGCTTACAAGGCAGGTACTTATGCTGCTGAGCTAAATCCCCAGTCCCCAACACAGACATCTTTACTTATGGTAGTCTTTGGCTTTTGTTATAATTAAAATAGGAAACTGTACTTCTTATTGACAAATAAAGAACTCCATCTGTTTTACCTGGGTTGTATCTCTGGGCAATTAGAGGTTAATATTAAATATAAAAGACTTATGGAAAATGCCAATTTTGTTTAACTTTAAAAATTTTTTGGAGCCATTATTCACTAATATTCTCCTTTTAATATTTGGCCTCTTTTCCAGACCATCAAAAATGATGGTTATTCCAGCAAAATCTAATGATCTCCAGTCTCCTTTAGATCAACCATAGTGAGACTTCTAATCCTTGGGTAGAAAAGATCAGTGTCTCCCTCAGCTTGAAGGCATAAAAAAAATCAGATCTTTGATCCATTTGTATCCATTAAGAATATGAATCAAAGTCTGGGGTGGAGTGAGACAGAATAGAAGACAGGAAGAAAGAAAAATAATAATTTAAAATTTGTACTTTTAAGATTGCAACTTCAGGACAAATCAAAATTACCCCCAAGTTATCCATATCTGTATTCCTTATACTTGTTTATGTTTCTTTTATTCCAAGCCCATTACACTCAGTCTCTTAGATATTTTAAATCTATAAATTAGATAAAGAATGGAAACTTGACATTAAGGAAGAAAAACAGACACAGGAGGCTGAAGCAGGAAGATTGCTTGAGTTTGAGGCTAGCCTGGGCTATATAGTGAGTTCAACTGTAGCCTTAACTACATAGCCAGAAGCCATAGAAAAAACAAAAGAAATAGATACAAAGATTTCAACTAATGTTTTTAGACAAAACATCTTTGATCATGTCTTAAAAAAAAAATAGGGCCCTGAGTTTCCCCTATAACATGAGCCTTCTTTTACCTTGTAAAGTACGCTATTATCTTTCTATTTGTGGTAGGCCATTCCTTTCATTCGAACTTAAATCAAGTTCGAACTTTTTACAGATTCAAATTAAACAGCTCTACCTACTTCAACACTAAGCATTCCAAGCTCCAGAATCTAGTGCCTGCAGTCTGTTTTCTCTGTGTATATTATGACTGAGGCACACTGTTCACCCTCTGACCCATCTTTTCTTTATACACTTCTGTACATCTTGTTTATAGAGTCTCAATGTCTTATTTGCACCACACATCTTGTTTATATTGTACTGTAACTTTTCCTGACTGTACTACATAGTACAGTATTGAAGTTTTATGTTATGTATTATAATACGGCATGCAAGAGTTATGCAAATAAAAGCACAGTTGTCAAGTTGGAGTTTCCTTTGAGTATTTATTAGTTCTGAATATTGCAATGTACATAATATATACAATTTCTCATTCAGTAACCAACTCAGTTACTAGCCTAGTTGTGGGAATGAAAAACTTGATCATTACATGAGGAGTGTGCAACCTAATATACATTCACAGACTCTGTAGCTTAGGATATGGCTGTCTTGAAGTAAGGAAGGAGTCTTCATTTTGCTTACCAGTGTTTTACAACAGTATAAAGTTTTAAAAAATAGTTGTCTGATATATTTAATAAAAAACATAATAAATAAGAATAAAGGATATTACAATTATTAGAGTTGATCTGAAAAAAATACAATGGATCAGGGATTTAGGTCAGTGGCATAAGCACCGAGGTGGCAGGAACAAGGTTGTGAGTTTAATCCTTGGTACAAAAAAAAAAAAAAAACGAAAAGAAAAAATAAAAAATACAATGGATAACATTCGATGCATGACTTTTTTTAAAAAATGTGTTTAAAAATAAAATGCATATAAAACATCGCTTCCTAGACCTTAAAACAAAAAACAGTGTTTATCTAAGACATGTTCATCTGTCTTCAAGTCATAAAGATTCCATCTTGTTCTTTGTTATAGCTTACCAGTTTTAGGCTTTATATTTAGGTCCATTTTCCACTGTTAGGTTTTTTTTTTCCCCCCTTGCATAACTGTTCTAGCAACTTTGGTGAAGAGACGGAGACAAGAAATAAGATGGATTTTTATAAATCTCAACTGTTTATGCTGGATAGAAGAATGTACAAGACCATTTCCCACCAATTTGACATTTCAGAATAGAACTATAGGGACAGAAATCACATCAGTGATTGCTAGAAACAGGGAAAGAAATGACTGTAAGAGCGCACAGAGCAACTTGGAGATGATAGAACTATTCCATAGTAGATTGTCAGCAGTAGTTATATGATAGTACATATTTGTTAATACTTCAGAAGCTCATGGCATGGACGTTTAGTTCTGTGGCTCAAGCATTTGCCAGGTGAGTTCTATCCCCAGTACCAAAAAAAAAAAAAAAAAAAAAGACTCAGACGCCCACACAACTAAAGAGTGAACTGCTGGGCATGGTGGCTCACATCTGTAATCCCAGCACTCAGGAGGCTGAGGCAGGAGAACTGCTCTGAGATCAAGGCCAGTCTGGGCTACACAGTGAGACCGTCTCAGAAAACTAAAAAAAGTGAACTTTATGTAAATTGTTCTTTTTTTGTGTGTGTACTGGGGACCGAACTCAGGACCTTGCGCTTGCCAGGCAGGTGCTTATGTCACTGAGCTAAATCCCTGGTCTTTATGTAAATTATTCTAATAAACCTGATTTATCAAATGACAAGATAAAAAAAGTACACAAGATTGAGCTGAAATGCTCCAAGATCTGAAATTTTCTGAGTGCTGATATGATGTCATAAGTACAAAATTGTATACCTGACTGATCTACTATGAGAAATCACAATTTAAAACATAGGCTCACTAAATATACTGTAATGACCTCTAAGTTATGGGGTACATATAAAACATCAATGAATTCTATGTGGACATAAGAGTTTCTACCCCAAGATAATTCCTGTTTATACATGTACTAAAAAGTGTGAAAAAAATACAAAATCTTAAATATTTCCAGTAAGGGATACCAGAAGGCAGAAAACTAGAGCCATCTCCAGGATCCTTTTTTCTAATGTCAGTGCTTCCAAATAAGGAATAAGATATGCTCTGGGTTTGTTTGTTTGTTTATTTATTTATTTATTTATTGAGGAAGAAGCAGGGGCACCAACAAAAGAGTAAGTTCATTTAAAATAACATATAACTCAACAGTCATAGGTTGAATTTTCAAGCTAGTTCTCTAATAATTTAACAAATGTAACAAATGGGGCTGGGCAAAATTGCATATGCCTATAATGCCAGCACTCAGAAAGCTGAGGCAAATGGATCACTGTGAATTTGGTACCAGCCTAGGCTACATACTGAGTTCAAAGCCAGCACGAACTAACATAAGACTGTTGAAAGACAGAATGAACAAACAAACAAATGAATGAAAGACAGAGAGACAGTAAGTAAGTAAGAGAAAGAGAGAAGGAAAGAGAAAAAAAAAAGGGCAAGCAAGCAAGCGAGCAAACTAGCTTAAGCCAAAATAATGAAGTAAGATTTACCTTTGGAGTCAGCATTTGGGAACAGCCTGTTCCATGGCACCTTATTTTTGTGTGGAAGAGAAAGCAAATAGTTTCTAGCTTTTAAATTTATTATACAATTCAGGTCTTCTTGTGATGGGGATCCAAGAATGCCTATTGGATAAAATAATTGGTTGTTAATTATCAAGACCAAGGCAAACAACTATAGATCACCAGCTGTGGGATAAATGAACCCTGGTAATGTCTCATCACCATCCAGTGTTCACTGCATACATTTTTACAAAAAAGGCTAACATTTTAAATCAGAGAATATAAAAATCTCATGTCTACCATAGGTTAGAGATTTTTTAGAATTCTTCATTTAATGATACAGCTCTGATACAAACTAAACTGTGCTCAGGAACCTTACCTAGAATGTGGTTCAGCTGGTCGAGATAATGCTTTCCTGGAAAGATGGGCCTGTTGGATAGCATCTCTGCCAGAATGCAGCCCACTGACCAAATATCAATGGACTTGGTATAGCCCTGTAGCATAAAGAAAGAAAAGGCTGACAATGCTATCTGTTGTTACATGACAATACAATGAAATCTCCTATAGGTATGTGGCTTGTTAAAGAGTTTAAGCTTCTCCTTAGATAATTTAAAAACATACAGAGATAGTATAGAAAAATAATTTGGTTTTCTTATGAGATGCTGAACAATCAAGATTACCTGATTTTTCTCTCTTCAACATTAATTTATAATTATACATTTCAGTACTTTTTTCAAATGATTTGAGATAAGAGTATTTTTAAATGGGAGATGTAGAAAGAAAAAAAAGTTGTAATACTCATGTTTCATGACATCAGCGGCCTATATACTCATTTTTAGAAATCTAGAAGTCAACTCACAATAAGAGTTCTTATTCTATTTCCAGAATATCTTTAATCATCCTAAAAATCATATTAAAAAACATCAGGCTAAATCTTATCAGGGGTGGGATGGGACTGAAATGGGGAAGCATATGCATGTCCAATATTCTTCTTTTTTCATTTTTTTTTGTCTTTTTCGTTTTTATCGGTACCACGGATCGAACTCACGACTGCCTGCTTGCAAGGCAGGCGCTTGTGCCGCTGAGCTAAATCTCCAGCCCCTGCATGTCCAATATTCTAATCATCCTCTTCTTTTCATTTTCAGCTATAAATTTCTTCATAAAGGAAATCTATGCAAAATCATGGAAGAAAATTGCCTAAATCACAACAGTGCATAAACATGTTTCTTCAAGGAGCACAAGTTGGATTTTATGGAAAAAGATACAATGAGATATGGAAGGGGGGGAAATGTAGAAATATCTAAACAAAACAAAAGAAAACAAAATTCCACTGAACATCAAAATTAGGTAAATAATGAAATTTCTTTGGAAAAAAACAAAGAACCAATGATCAGATCTATACCTATGATAAAACAGGGTTCAGTTTTAAAATAATTCTAAAGCTTTTATAATTTTAAAACCTAAATGAAGGAAAACACTGAAAACTCACAAAAAATAAGTAACTAAAGGAATCAGGTACAAATTCTCTAAGATGAATGTGATCATTATGTATATCTAACATGTACCAATAGATTCTAACTTAAAAAAAAATCAATAAAAGGAATTAGAACCTTTGGGAAAAAGAACTATTTCAGTTCTTTATTCGGTCTGGGATAGTACCAAATCAACCTGGAGTACACCAGAAAGCAAGAATGTGCCTCATACTTGTGGGGAAATAACAAGAGTAGCTCTCACCAGCCAAATCTGGACAGAAACACATAATGGCAGAAATAGAGTAAAAATCACAATAAAAAATGAAAAAAGAATTCCCAGACTAAGAAACTTTATGAAGACAGAGTAGCTCACTGGTTATCTAAATTCAAGGGAAGGGATTGGGAGATGATAGTTGGTAGAGTGTTTTGATTTGGGATAACAAAAATAACCTAAATTTAACTGTGGTCATAAGTTGCACAATTTTATCAATGTGTCATATCTGTTGAATCTTACATTTTAAATTTGTAAGCTGAAGTAATAAAATCTTTACTTCAATAAGGTTATTTTTTAAATCATAGAATTTAATACATGGAAACACAGGAGGAATGATAGGTGTAGGTCCCTGAAATCATACCTACTCAGGAGAAAGTTGTCAGCTTGGGCAATTTAGTGAAACCATCTCAAAATAAAAAGGCAGCCAAGTGTGGTGGCGCATTTCTCCCAGTACTCAGGAGGCTGAGCGAGGAGGATTGCTGAGAGTTCAAGGGCAGCCAGGGCTACACAGTGAACTCAAGGACAGCATGACAAAAGACATTATGGTAGCCACTGATGATTTACTCTTGTCTTATTTTGAAATCCTGTGTGGCTTGCATTGTTCTGATCTGCTTTGTTCTGTTTTGCTCTCTTTAAAATAAAAATAAATTTTAAAAAATTTTAAAAAATCAGTCAATTGATCAATCAAATAAAAAAGGCTGGGAATGTAGCTCAGAGGCAGAGTTGACCCTAAGTTCTATCACCAGGAAAGAGAGAGAGAAAGACAGGGAGACTGAGAGACAGTAAGTGGGGAGAAAGAGAGGGAGAGGGAGAGAGTGAGTCTGGGAGGGAAGGAAGGAAGGCAGGCAAACAGGTAGGCAAGGAGGAAATAAAGGAGGGAGTAAAAGCAGTAAGTAAAGTTTGAAGATGGTAATTTACACAGTGAAACTATTTCTCTCCACATATTATTTGTAATTTTATGAAGGAAATTATAGTATGATGGTGGAGATCTGGAGGATACCATCTTAGTTAAATGTTAAACATGATCATAATCAACTATCAGTACAAGCCAGTTACGTGTTCTGGTAACAGGCACCAAGAAAAACAAAATATTGCTTTTGTGGTATTGGTATCAAAATTCGTGACAAAACTGAGGGACCTTTTGTAAATCAGCTAACCCATACTCTTCAAAAAAATGGCACTGGATTTATGCTAGCTATCTAAAGCCACTGGTAAGAACACCTCTTTTTTTAAGGAGTATTAATTAGTATGCTCCATATTGTCCAGGAGTAAACTACTGGTTTATGTTGGCTATGTGTCAGATGACGTGCCCAAGAGAAAAGGAAGAAGAAAGGAGGGAGGAATGAGAAAGCAAAGAAAAGAAGAGCTAAGAAGATGGTGAGATATTAATAGCTAGTGGAACATGGTAAGGTATATATGAGCATGTTCATAGTACTCAACTTTTCTGTATCTGATAATTTTCTAATAAACAGAAAAAAAGTGAATACATTTCTAGAAGTAATACTTCCAGGCTAAAGGTACTGCAAATAATAATAATTTACACTCAGTTTTCTCTACAGTAACCATCTGCAGAACGGAGTACTAGGAATCTGGAAAGACAAACAATTAAATTATAAATTAAGTCATATATGTACAGCTGCTCTTGCAGATTCACAAATGAAAGCAGTGGGGACATCTTGACTTAGAATGAAGACTCAAGACAAGAAGCCATCTGGATAAAAGACCTGCTACACTATCAACTCTCTTTTCCAAGAAGCACAGCACACCTGGATTTCAATGTTCCTCGTCGGAATGGCTGTCATGTGGCTTTGTTAGAGAAAGACTCTAGTGTGTGGGATTATTTGTAATACAAAATTATGCCAGTGAGCTAAATTCCCAGCTCTGGTACCAATTATGGAACTCAGGACCTTGTGCTTGCCAGGTAGGCGTTGCGTCACTGAGCAATATCCCTGGCCCAGTGCTTTCTTCTTTGAAATGTCTGTTATATCAAATCATTCTTTACAATAGAACTTCTTTTAATGGGATTTTGCTTTCTTAACTAGAGAAATGTAGGACATCAACAAAAACTTTAAACAGATTCCATTTTCTCATAAAAACAACCTAATAGCTTATTACTACTCATAAAGAATGGAGGAAGAGAATAATGCCTATGAGTTAACTAGACCCATTCCTTTCATTTCTATTTAGCTTTTCAGGACTATTTCTGGTTCTTGGGTCCTAGATATAATACCTAATATTTACTTATTATTTATTTATTTTGGAGGGCAGTGCTGGAGATTAGACACAGGGGTTTTGCACTGAGCCATATCTCCAGTTCTGCTGTGAAGTTTTTTTTTAATTTTCTTTCTTTTTTTTTTTGGAGACAAGTTGTCCAGGCTGATCTTGAATTTGACTTTTTGCCTCAGTTTCTTAGAATGCTGGGATTACAGGTGTATGCCATCATACCTGTTTTCCTTAATTTATCTTAGATACCGATGTAATTGTATTTAAGAATCTCATTTTGAAATATTAGACATAGGTAATGTCAGTCCTATTTAAATAACTCAATTTTGGCCCCGTATTCACATACTTTTTTTTTTTTTTGGTACCGGGGATCGAACTCACGACTGTGCACTTGCAAGGGAGGCGCTTATGCCGCTGAGCTAAATCCCCAGTTCCATCACATACTATTTGTGTTAGCATGTTAAAAATGTCAATCTCAATTGCAGTACTCAAAGTTTTTGCTTAAAGATTCATAATTCTAACAAAGAAATCCTACTTCACTTTTTCTGACTTGCCTAAATGCATGCAATTACTCTACTGATCAAGTACAGGCTTTGGTTAGCAGAATTTGGATGTAACCTGGATGTACTCTCCATAGCCACCTGGAGGGGAAAAAATACTTCATCTGGAAATAAGATTACCACATAATTTTGAAAGAATGTATCACAGTTTCTATTGTTCACACATCTATTTTCTTTAAGCACAACAAATTATATTACAATTCTGCTGAACAGACATTCTTTATTATTAGATGATGCTCATTTTTATACAATAGCCCTGAACTGTGTTCATAGAAATACACATTTCTGGTTATCTCTAACACAAAGACAGCTTGCACACAACTTTGGCAGGTATGAAAGTTGCCATTGGCAGGCCCTCAGGAGAGGGACATGGACCACTTATGCTGTAACTGGAGAGGTAACCTTCTAACTCTTCATCATGTCAGCATTACTGCATCATGTCAACTGAGGTAGAGAAGTTGAACCTCATGGCCCAGAAACTTAATTCTGAACAATCTTGATAGCACTGGGACTCTGACCAGAAGATAGCCCAAACCTCAACTCAATTATGAGGCTGGAGAGGGAGGTTTACAGCCAAACATTTAGAAAATATTCCTACTTCCTACTCTTTTAAAAATGCAAATCTGATTTACCTTGGAATTCAACATTATTTCTGGAGCCCTGTACCAACGTGTTGCCACATACTCTGTCAGGAATCCTGTGTGATCATGATCTGGATCTGCAACGCGGGCCAGACCAAAGTCACAGATCTAAGAGAGAAAAAAGTAGGAAATCTCAGAAATTCAACCAGCTCAAAATAAAAACATCATAAAAGACAACAGTAGGAATAACTAATAATAAGCAGTATTTATCACTATGATGTTAGATACTTTGCTGCGAGCGCTAGACTCATTCAGGGCCCTTTCTTGACCCCATTCTATCACCCAAAGTTCCAGGGTTCATTGCTGGTGGGATCAGCTCCTCAATCTGCACTAGCCTTCTGTTTCTAGGACCTCCTGCTAGTTTTCCACTTAGTTCAGAAATGGTATTTTCAAAGATTTTGCCTATTTCCCTTCCCTTTTCATATAGTCAAATTTACTTCCAAAGCTTCAAAAAAAAGTTTCAAGTATTGAAGATGTTTCTTAAAAACCAAACAAGCAAAAAACTTAGACCCCTCAGCCTTTCATCATCTGATACAATATTGGATGCAATACTATAGTGCATACTTGACCAACAGCCTCACCAGATTCCAAGTTATAATGTACTTAGCCTTGCACAAATGCAGTATATTTTAATTCGTTGGTCCTTGGGCAACCAACCTGAGAGAGATGTGTGTTATCAAAGACAGGTCAGAGTACAGTAAAGGGTAAACTACAAGAAAGACTAATGAAGACGGTCTTTGCACTAAGTAGCTGAGAAACCAGGTCATGAACTCAGGCCACAAAAATGGGGTTAAAAAAGGACAAGTCTGAGAGATATTTCTAGGACTTGGAGTTTATGTGAACATCAATCCCACAATTTAAGTGTCTCAATTCATGAAGATCTGGAAAGATCCACCCACATTACAAATATCCTCTCGCAGTCACCACCTTGGAGGCTGGCATCAGCAGGTAGTGTTTTTGCTACTACATCCCTGTTGGTTGCTTCAGCTACAAGATCCAATTAAGTTAGATGTTGTGTTGTATAATTTATCTTTGGCACACTGTTACTTCATCATCAAAAGGAGCTGTCCTGGTCACTTTGTTGATTGCTGAGACAACTTAAAGGACAGGACTCTTTTGGCTCACAGTCAGTGCACACTCAGCCGGCTAGAAGACAAAGTGTCATGGCAGAAGCCATAGCAGAAGAAAAGCTGCTCACATCATGGTGGCCAGGAAGGAGAGAAAGGAGGAACTGAGAAAGAAGATAAACCCTTCTAGGTTACATCAACAGTAACCTGCCTCTCCCAACCATGACTCACCTCCTAAAAGCAAGTCAGCCATAGGGCCCTCATGGTCCAGTCTTCCTGAAGTCCCACTTATGAGCATGTGGCCTCTGGAAGACAGGAGCAGACAGCACATCTGCTTCTCCAGTGACTGTCCCACAGACACTCTATGGGATTCTCACAGGATAGGGTGGTAAGAAAATCCTGTCCTCCAAAGTTCTGGCTTCTAAATCCAGTCACTGCACTCTCTTGGTCTATGTAAGTTCCAGCACAAGCTTTGAGTGTCTCCTTTCAGAGACTTTCTCTTTGCTAATATTACACTACAGACAGTCATGGCCTTTCAAGAGGACCTGGCTGAGAAACAACCAGAAGTTTTTAAGAGGAACACAGTTGAATTCTAATTATGCTAAAATGATTTGAGGCTTTCAATGAATCTATATACTATTTGTTTCTTTCGTATCTTTTCTACCAATTCCCGTGAAGCAAATCACAGGCAGAAACTGTTTCCAGGCTTGCAACACCAGCCTACTGACAGAAGCAATAAATTACTGGGCCTTGTCAACAAAGCAAAACTACAGTAAGCTCTGGATGGAACATGAGCACACATCTGTCACTATACTGATGTCCAACATCACACAGACTGCACAGGTTCAGACTTGACACAACTTTGCATGGTGCAGGTGAATCACAGAAAAATTCTACACAAATTAAAGAGAAATGGGGCTGAGGATATGGCTCAGCAGCATAAGCGCCTGTCTGGCAAGTGCTAGGTTGTGAGTTCGAACCCCAGTATCAAAACAAAAACAAGCTGGGGATTTAGCTCAGCGGCATAAGCACCTGCCTTGCAAGCACGCAGTCGTGAGTTCGATCCCTGGTACCGATAAAAATGAAAAAGACAAAAAAAAAAAAAAAAAAAAAACCTAATATATATATATATATATATATATGGGAAACAAAAAAAAAACCCAAGCCATAGACCAAAGAAACCAAGTACTGAAGGGAATGTTTATACATTCCTCTTGAAATATGGACAAAACATGGAAGTTGAATTTTAGAAGGCTTGACCATATTCTTAAATCTATTAAGGCAGGGATATGGGCTGGAATGTAGTTCAGAGGCACAGCACCTGTCTGGCAAACACAAGGTCTTGAGTTCAATTTCTGGTTAACCCCTCCTCGCTAAAAAAGGACAGAGATTCTAAGTGCTATGGATAATTTTAAACGTAATTGTGGTGGCTGTATTTTCTAAAGAATAACATATCAATATAATATCACCCCCACTACCCAGTGTTTGGGATTGAACCCATAATACTGTGTATGTAGGTAAGTATTCTACCACTGAGCTGTATCTCAAGCCTTTTTATTATTTTGAGACAGTGTCTTGCTAAGTTGCCCTCACTAGTCTTGGACTTGTGATCTAAGAAGCTGATTGTAACATTCTGGGCCCCTCATGCTTTTTTTTTTTTTTCCCCTGTCTTTTTGAGACAGGGTCTCTATGCAGTTCAGGCTGGCCTTGAGCTCACTTTGTAGCCCAGGCTGATCTCAAACTAGCAACAATCCTCCAGCCTCAGCCTCCTGAGTGCTAGGATTACAGGCATGAGTCACCACGCCCGGCTATCCCTCATGCTCTTCTTACAAGCTCTTTGGTTGAACTTGTTTCAATCTTCCCTCCTCTTGAATATGAATGTATTTCGGTGATTACCTGAATCAATAGGCAATACAGTGGAAGTGATGATGTGTTACTACTAAGGCCACCTTATAAAATGAAACAGCTTCCACTTGGCTCTTTCTACTGTGGCACCTAGAACCCTCTGATGTAAGGAAGCCCAGGCCACATGACCTACAGACATAATCAGGAACAGCCTGCAACTGCCACCAGGCATGTAAGTGATGATTCTGTATCTTCTGTCTTCACATCTGGTCAAGACCCAGGCACCGTAAAAACACATAAACAAAAAATCCCTAGCCATCTTTCCTGTACCTTGACTGAACTAAACCCACAGAAACTGTGAAATAATGTGTAATTATTGTTTAAGTCATAATTTGTTATACAGCAAGAGAAAAACTACTATACTGGTACTGGACAGAGTGATTGTGATGGGACAGGCACTGTTGGAAGAGGACCCATGTGAAATAATACTGGAGTAATGAAGAGATGCCAATGATAGGGGACCACCATGTTGCTAAAGCAACATGGAGGAGGCACTGCAGTTAAAGCCTCCCAAAACACTTCTACTGAACTAGCTGCTTTTATATCTCAACATTGTTTTTAGTTTATTTAAACTTATCTAAAGCTAGCATCCTTCCTACAATCTAATTCATCCTTTAGATGGCTGAGTATTATTTGCAAAGCAGTATTAAGCCATCACTCTGGTTCAGATCTTTTAACCAATCTTTTCTGCCTATGGAATGCACAAATCTTTTCTTTTAGGTCTTGCTACGTAGCCCAGAACAGCCTTGAACTTCCAATACTCCTGTCTCAGCCTCCTGAGTGCTATGAGTACAGCCATGTGCCACCATACCTGGCTCAAAACCAAATTCTTTATTTAAGGACAACTTTCAAAATGATGGTGTAACTGGTACCAAACTACCTTGCAGATCTCTCTGTCTTCCACTACTGCCTCTGATCATATTTATACCAAACGTATACTTCTTTTCTGACTATCCAATACCACTCTGACTGTGGGCCTCTATCAATACATGTCAATCTACTTCCTTAAATATCCAGCTGGGAACGTCCTTTGCCTGAGAAGTTTCCTAGGAATCACCTCCCTACTCAAATAAATTGTTCGCTTTTATGAACTTTCATATTACTCTGTCATATTTAAAGTATATAATCACGATTCATGATAAAGAGCTATATAAATGCCTACTTCCCCAACTAGAATATAAGTTCCTAAAAAAGGGCAATACTGAACTTGTTCCTTATTCTGAAGTAGACTATATGTACTGGACATTCAATATTTGGTGAATAAATGTTTTACTTTAAATGTTCTGATAAAGCACAACACTGTAGAGGATTAATTAGCAGTGTTCTAATAAAGATTGTTTTTCACAATATCTGAGTCACTAATCACCTTTAATTATAATTTTTCAATTATGGCAATATTAAGGTAGAATGAAAAATTAAAAATTAGGATAAACAGTATTCCCTCAATAGGAAAATACAACTTATCTTTATCACTGGCAATACAAGGGGTCATCAAAATATGTGTATGGTTAATATTTAACTTTTAAAATACATTACAATAAAAGATGCATTGCCATTAATCCCTTCAAAATACTCCCTTCTTGCTTCAAACACACTTATCCCATCATTCTTGCTACTTGCTGAAGCAGTTCTAGAAGTCTTCTACGTCTGTATGAGGTGTGAACAAAAATATAGTGAAGGCTGCTGTAGAGCTTATAAAAACATTTTGATGTGTCCCAATCCAATGGATGTATGGTACCATGCAATCTGGCTCTTCCACAAAGTCTAATGACCGTAAAAGGTAAACATCTTGAATTGATTCAGGACATCAAAGTAGCCATGACAGAGCAACTAAGGACACTCATAAAAAGAGGGCTTCCATAAGTGCTTCAGCAAGTGGCACAAACAAGAGAAGTGTGTCTGAAACGAGGGGGAGGTAGTATGAGGTAGATTAACTTTAACTGTAATAATATTAAATACACTGTATTTCTAATCACATCTTATATATCTACTTCCACATCCTATATATCTACTTCTTTAAATCAAATGTGTAATTGTTCTTCCCTATCTTTTTCTCCTAAAAGATCTGGTCTGAAAGCCACTAAGTGTGGTGGAGAGAACAACAGCAACTTGGTAGGGAAACAATCAGAGTTAAGCGGGCAACCAGAGTTAAGAGGGAGCTCAAGATTAGGACATGTTCTACGTATGAGGTGAAAAGGCATCTGGTAAAGGAGGTGAGGACAGCCCAGCCAGGTGGCTGGGATCCCAGGAGGACGCTGCTGTACAAATCAACTGCTTTGTTGGGAGATGAAAAGTGTCATTTTTCTAATGTTATAATTTCTTTGTATTGACTACCGGCATTCATTTTAACGCATACACAATGGGGCCATAATTCAGGTATCATACTGCCAGGTGGGTCGAACTACTGGTGGAACATGCATGACTGTTTCATTGGGTGGCTTTTTATTAATTTTATTAAACAGTCCAAGAAAAATGATTATATTCATTTATATCAGTACCAGCCACCTCAAAGGACAGTCATGCATGTACTATTAGTGGTTCAAGTCAGCAGGAACATGTTATAGAAGGTCTGTGTCAGTTGTGGTGGCACACAAAGGTAATCCCAGCAATGAAGGAGGCTGAAGCAGGAAAAGTACAAGAAAGAACCTATACTGGGCAATTCAGCAAGACTGTCTCAAAATTTAAAAATAAATGCATGTAAATAAATAAAAAGGGCTGGGGACATAGCTCACTGGTAGAGTACCCCTGGTTCAATTCCCCAGTACCACAAGAAGGAGGGGGACCACCCCTGGGTCGTCATCATCTGGGGCTATTTGTTTACCCTAATACACAGATTCTGGCAGACTTCTTTCTACCAGCAACAAAGTAAATAGGTTTAATAATCTCCTATTAGTTACCAGTTTTTAGAATAGCAAGGTTGTATAAGAGGGACTATGTTTAATATTTATATTTCCACATTTATTATAAAGATTAGAACCAGCAGGTTCTCAGAAGTTATTGGATACAATTTTAAAAATAAGAACCTGCAGGATTTAGTTCTTAAAGATTTCACAGCTCCACTGATGGTCATCAGTGAAAAGTTCATGTTACATGCATGTGCACCATCTAAGCTCCTTTTATATCAAACACTAACCAAGTTTATACAGCATTAGCAAACTGCCAAGGATACAAAATTTAAAAAACAATACTATTCAGAACAATTCCATATAAAGAAGGTAAGTAACTAGAGCATGGTACAAGAAACAAAATGACTTAGAAACTTCAGCACTCCTAACTGATTAGTTTTTGGACTGTGTTAATTCAAATATTTAGGGCCAGGGGTTTAGTTCGGTGGTGTAAGTGCCTGCTTGGCAGGCACGAGGTTGTGATTTCAATTCCCAAAACCAAAAAAACAAAAACAAAAATTCGTAACACAAAGGAAGTTCTACAAACACATGCATGCTGAATTACATGGGCTCAAAGATAAATTTCAACGAATTAGTTTTTGCTTCCTATTTCTCACCTAACTCCACCAGTCCTAACCAACCACTGACCTATTTCCTGACTGCAGATTTATATATTCTGGACACCTCATAATTGGGATCATAAAATATATATATATATTTTTTTTGGTACTGGGAATCGAACTCAGGGCCTTGTGCTTGCCACGCAGACATTTATGCTGCTGAGCCATATCCCCTACCCTAAATATTTGTTTTTATGACTGGATTCTTCTTTCAGTTACATAATGTTTGCATAATTCATCCAAGTTTTATCATTATCAGTATACTTAACTCCTTTGTATTTCATTGCATGGAACTACCACGTTTTATCTAATACTAGTTGGACACTTGAATTTTTCTACTTTTTGGCTGTAATAGGTAATGGGAACAATAACAGTTTGTTGTTGTTTTAGCATGAATAGTTTTTATGAAGAAATATGTTTTCATTTAGGTATAGACTTACGAACAGAATCTTTGCTAATGCTTTTTGTTTCACTTTATATCACAGCCATCCTATTATGTATGAAGTGCTACCCCACTGTAATTTTCATTTGCTTTTATTTTCCTGACTGATGATGTCAAGTATGTTTTCATGTTCTTTTTTCTGTCTCTTTGAGACAGGGTATCACTAAGCAGTTCAGGTTGGCTGTGAACTCACTTTGTAGGCTAGGCTGGTCTTGAACTCGCAACGATCCTCCTGTCTCAGCCTCCAGAGTGCTGGGATTATAGATGTGCATCACCATGCCTAACTCTTTTCATGTTCTTATAGTCTATCTAAGTATCTTTAGGGAAATGCCTATTCAGATGCTTTATTCATTTTAACACTGGGTTGTGGTTGTTTTGGTTTCTTTTGTTTGTTTGTTTTCTATCTTTTTTTGAGACACTTTGACTGTGCAGTTCAGGATGGCCTTGAACTCACTTTGTAGCCCAGGCTAGCCTCAAACTCACAGTGATCTTCCTGCCTGGCTATGTGCTTTTTATCACTGAGTTGGAAGAGTTCTTTACAATAGTCATCCCTTAGTATCTGTGGGTGACTAAATCCAGGACCCTGAAGATATCAATACAGATGTTTAAATCCCTTACATAAAGTGGCGCAGTATTTGAATACGAACTACATGTCATCCTCCTATATACTTTAATCTCTAGATTATTTATAAAAGTAATGATGCAAATGTCATGTGCAGTATTGTTATATTGTAATGTGTAGGAAATAATGACAAAGAAAGAAGTATATATCCACACAGATGCATTTTTCTCCTGTGTATTTAATTCCATCTGCAACTGTTAGACACATGCATGCAGAACCTGTGGGTGCTAAACCCATGAATGCAGAGTTGTCTATATTCAGTTACATACTACTCTGTAGCTCAGGTTTCATATCTTTTGTTTGGGCCTTGGCACTGAGCTGTATCCAGTCTTTTTTCTTACTTTTCATTTTGAAACAGTATCTTACTAAGTCACTAACTTGCCCAGCCTGGGGTCAAACTCCCTTTCAAATCCTGATGGACAGGTCAGGGATATATCTTAGCTGCCTGCCTAGCAAGTAGGAGGTCTTGTGTTTGATTCCCAGTATCAAAAAAAAAAAAAAAAAAAAAAAAAAAGAAAAGAAAAGAAAAGAAAAAAGAAAAAAACCACCAAAATAAAGCAAAACAAAAATCTTGATGGAGTCTAACTTACTTTCTTTTTTTGCTGTTATTGTTGTTGATTGTGCTTTTGGCGTCACATCTAAAAATCTTAATGCAAAATCAGAGAGAGGTATTTCTATATTTTCTAACAGTATTACAAATTTTAGTTCTTGAATTTTAAGTCTTTGACCCATTTTGAGTTAGTTTTTGTACAGGTACAAGGAGAGATCCAATATCATTCTTTTGTATGTGTGTATTCAAATGTTTTATTTGTTGAAGAGACTTCTTTCCCAAGTGGTCTTGACCCTTCTCCTGTCAGAAATCAGTTGACAGACATATGTGTTTATTTAACTGACTTTCAATTCTTTTCCATTAATCCACCTCTATCCTTATGTCAGCAGTACAGCCTTACCTATTGTATTTTTTACTAAGTTTTGAAATCAGAAATGTAAATCCTTCAACTTTGTTCTTTTATGAGGCTACTTTGGCTATGATGGGTCTCTTGATTTTCACATCAATTTTAGAATTAGCCTGTCAATTAGACAAACAAACAAACAAAAACTGCTAGGGAATTGATAGGGAGATCAACCTGAGGGAAATTTTCATCTTTGTAAGTTTTCTGATCTATTAGCAAGGGATAGCCTTTCCTTTTTTTTTGGTCTTAAAGTTATGTGCATTTTATTAGACCAAATCTACATCTCTACTAAACTGAAAACACACAGATCTCCATTCTTACTTAGCTCTGCTATTCATTAAAATACGGATACATGTTGCACATCTTCAGGAAAACTCTGAAGACTCTAAAAGATCTTAAGGTTTTCCTTCTTACTTGGAAGGTGTTATCAAAGACAGTGAGGTTAAGTTTTCTGCGTGTTTCTTGTGTAAAACTTACTGAAAAAAAAACTCCAATGAAACAGCATTTTAAAACTTAATATATAATGCACATTTGTACATATAAAAAGCACACACATATGTAAGGATATATAAAAAATGCTGGAAGGAAATACACCAATTTGTTACAGTAATTATCTTTGCAGACAATGGATGAGATAAAGAAAAGGAGGACTAGCTTTTTTTTAAAACCACAGAATGGTTTTCAAGTATTTCTGGTATTATCTTATTTGGGGGAAGGGTAGGGCAGAGTATAATTTTAAATAACAAATATAATTACATGTCAATGACAGTTTTTAAAATATGTATCATCCTAAGAATAAATAACCTGGCTGACCTTGAGATCACAGGTGGTATTGAGCAGCAGGTTGGAAGGCTTGAGGTCACGGTGCAGAACATTAGCTGAGTGGATATATTTTAACCCTCTGAGAATCTGGTAAAGAAAATAGCAGATATGGTCGTTGCTGAGGTGTTGTGTCTTCAAGAGCTTGTAAAGATCTGTTTCCATTAGATCCTGTACTATGTATCTGTTTGGACAGGTTAAAGAAAAACACCAGATGGTCACACTTATTAGCAAAGCATTAAAACAAAATTCAACCTCTCTCAATCCTCTTCCCAAATGATTCATTAAATCACGAGGCCTTCAAGGGAAAACAGGAACTGAAAACCTGTACCTTTCTGGGAGGAATCTGAAGTAGTTTAACTCATTTTGTAGGCCCTGCAGAAAAAAATTTGCTTTGTATTTGTCTAATGTGGCTAGTTATGAACCTTGATTGAAACCTAAAACAGAGACATCAGTTTTGAAATGCTTTTGAGAACCACAAATTAAGCCACGCCTGGCACCTCTGTGAGACCCTGTCTCAAAACAAAAAATAAAACAGGGCTGGAAATGTAACTTAGTACATACAAAGAGCTCAACCTCCAGTGACCCCTATCATCAACAAATCCCCTTCAAGAGTGGTAGCCGACAAGAATCAGATTCTCTTATCTCTTTGGCCCAGCAACAACATCTTACTTCTTAACCCCATCTCTCCAAACCCAACTATAAAACTTTTGGAAATAAAGATTTAGAAATATTGCTATTGAATCCAACGCTGAGCCTATTTTTTTTTCTTTTGTGGGGGTGCTTTTTTGCGACAGGGTCTTGCTATGTAGTTCAGACCAGCCTTGAATTCACTATGTAGCCTAGACTGGCCTCTAACTGGCAGCAATTCTCCTGCCTCACTCAGCCTTCCAAGTGCTGAGATTACTGGCACATGCCATCACGCCTAGTCTATTTTCTTAATTTTTCATTTATTGTCAAGATCCTAGTTATGCATGGTGGTATGCATCTGTAATCTCAGTACCCTGGAAGGCTAAAGCAGGAGAATCATAAATTAAGCCAAGCCTCAAAATAAAAAGAGAAAGTAGGGAATGTCATTTAGTACAAAGAGTTCAATCTTCATCATCTCCTCCCACACATGTCCTATATAAAGAAGACCAAGGATATCATGCTAAAGAGGGTTTTGGGCTTGCTTGCTTGCTTGCCGAGCCATGTATCTAAGAGCCTAGTTTAGGGTATGTTCTTACAAAAGCCTGTAGTTTTTAACTTCACTATAGTAGTACTTCACTCGTGGTGTTTTTCCAATTCTTTTATTCATTTCTGCATAAATACTTGTCTATTTTCTACAGGCTCATGACAGATGAAAACTGGCTGCAAGAACATGGAACTTAAAAAGAAAAACGAATTGTCATCTGGAAGAGGTTTAATTTCATGGTAAATGGTAAACAAGACCAACAGCAAGTAGCAATAGGAGGCACTTCACTTAAAATATCACTATAATTTTATGAATAGGGCTGTTTAAAATGGATAGGGCTATCCAGATACAGTGAGCTACTGCCACTGATCCCTAGAGGGGACCAAAGTAGAATAGTCTGAGGTGTAAGGCTCTTTCTTCTGGCAGATCTTCAGCATGCTTAACACTTCTTTAATATGCATCCTTTACTCAGGCAACCATCCTGTAGACCTACTTTGTCCAGATTTCTAATGTTGGTCACAGTCATTTATACATTTTCTGAGCTGGGATAGTTTTAAAAGATGAGGCCCAGTTTCTTCATTTTAAAGACCAGTAAACTCAGATCTAAAGAGGAGCAATACATTAAGTAAACAGGACAATACTGATTTGACAGGTAGATATATACAGGGCACCCTCTCTCTTACTTGACTGATCTTTCCTTTTTTATCATCTGGAGCCATCTATAAAATGGAAATGACCAAGACATTCCATAAAATCTTTACTGAAACTGTTGAGAAAACACTAGACTTACCTATAAAATACTAAAACTATAGTTACTGACAACTGATAAAATGAATCAAAGAAAAAAATATAAATGATACGTTATAGTAAACAGGTTACAATCTCTCCTTAAATGTATTTTATACCATTTTTCTTTACTCTGATAAGTCTAGGAGATTTCTAGTTGTATTTATTTAACAAGATCAATAAGCAGTGGAGTCAGCTAGTTGTCACAAAGGATACACATCTTTCATTTGCTCGATGGTTGGTGCACGAATAATATCGTTGATGCCAATGATATTCTCATGTCTGAAGCGCAGTAAGATTTTTATCTCCCTCAGCGTTCTCTGGCAGTAAGTCTGGTGTTCAAAAGGACTGATTTTCTTAATAGCTACTCGAACTTTGTTGATGTTATCATATGCAGAGCTAAAAAAGAAGTGAGGGATGACATTAAAAATAGCCCACAGAATACTTCAGCAAGAATACAAATTGACAAACTATTGAAGTTTTAACTCTATATAAATACTTGTTTAACACCTAGCAAGTATGTAATCCACAAAAAGTCTCAAGCTATAGGGAGGAAGCAGTTGACAGAAGACAGCAGATACTACACCTCAAAGTTAATAGCAGATCTTCAGGGACAGTTCAGTTCACTGGTTGGATGTTCCTTTTCACAGACTCAAAACATGGGTATATGCCAGATACACAAAAAAGTATTTTCCTACTGTCTTTAACAACAATCTCATTTTAGTGAAAGCAATCACTTTTGCCTCCAAAACAAATGCTTACTGTTGTATCAAATTCCTTTGACTCAGCAGAAACATTCAAAACCATCAACCACATCTTCATCCTTACAACAACAAAAATAGACCCAAGAGACCTTGATTGCTTATATCAACTTTGTTTCTCTTACTTCAAAATGACATGACTTATTTCTTTTTTGTTCCCAAGAAACTGAACAATGATGTTGGGGTAGTTTCATAATAAAACCTACAAGTAGTCTTCAAAAAAAACTTTTCATTGGTACTGTATAACAAAGGACCTAGTTTTTTCCAAGTTGTCTTTAATGTCTGAAAACATGATTCTGAGCAGAAGCAATATTAAAAATTATACCCTCAATTTCATGTTAAATGTAAATCCAGGATTACCTCTAACTTTATTATCAATATTCTGTTGAAATACTTCCTTTATAGAAAATATTGTTAAAATATGTAAAAGGTTTTTAAAATAAATGTCAACATTTGGTCTACTGACCAAAACAATGAAGTAACAATGGCTGGCAGTAAGACCATCCTTGTTTCCTCAGGGTGAGTACTAATAATATGAAACTGCAAAAAAACTTTGTTCTTAAGTTTGTGCCTCTGTAATAATATTTATCAGTCCATTTTAATAATCACTGATACATTTGTCTAATTCCATCAAAAGACTATGTCTTAGGTGAGAATTTGACTTATTCTGTTTCAAAATTACTTGTCAACGCCAAACACATTCAAATGAAATGTATTTTATCATTACTTAAATCTTATTTTGCTTGGTTTGCCACATTAAGGCCTCAACCAGAGATCTTTAGGCAGGCAGGATGTATACTGCAAACAAGCTTATTCAACAATGGAAATAAATACTTGTAGAAACAAAAACTCTTTGGTTACTGAATCATTAAAAAAAAAAAAAAAAGAACACATAATCAGGTGGGCATGGTGGCACACATCTATAATCCCAGTACTTGGGAGATTGGAACAGGAGGATTACTATGAGTTTGAGGACAGCCTGGGCTACAAAGCGAGCTCAAGGTCAGCCTAAACTATATAGTGAAACCTTGTCTCAAAAAGACAAAAAAAAAAAAAAAAAAAAAAAAAAACCCAAACCTTACCCCATCCAATCCTGTGTTCATCAATTACTTAAAAAACAATATTATTAAAATACCATAGGACTCAAAGCACTTTACAGATTCAGTGTAATCTCTATGGAAACTCCAAGAGTATTTTTCACAGAAATATTAAAAAACAATCCCCAAATTCACATAAAATCATGAAAGATCCTAAACAATCAAAGAAATATTTATTGTTTGTTTGTTTATGGTACTGGAGACTGCGAAGCCAGAGCCTTCACACTGATCTTCATCTTCAGCTCATTTTTAAAATTTTGAGACAGGGACTTACTAAGTTACTCAGGCTGGGATCCAATTCTCAATCCTCCTGCCTCAGCCTGCCAGAGTGCTAGGATTATAGACTTGCACCACTAAGCTTGCCTCACAAAGGAATTTTGAGCCAAAGAAAGAAAAGTAGGTATCTACCTGAATTCAAAATACTTTACAAAGTTATAGTAATTACAGCATGGTTTTAGTAGGGAGTATGGAAAATGGTAAAATGTTAAAGCATATGAGGTTACCAGTTAGACAGGATGAGTAAGTACTGGATGTGCAGTATGACCTAATGATTACAGTTAATAGTAATGTATATTATCTCAAAACTGCCAAGAGATTAATTCTTAATGTTCTTAACATGAAAATATGGTAACTATGTGAGGTGATAAGGTTAATTAGCTTGACTTAATAACTTCACAACATATACATATACCAAACAAACCTACACTGACAATATATCCAAATTTTATCTGTGAATTATACCTTAAGCTAGGGAGAAGGATAGAACCAATATGGTACTGGCATAAAAAACAGACATACAGACTAACAGAACAGAATATAGCCCCAAAAATAAATCTATGCTTTTACAGTCAAGCATCTTTAACAAAGGTGCCAACAACACACAGTGGGAAAAGGACAGTCTCTTCAATAAGTAATGCTGGGAAAACAGAATATCCCCTTGTAGAAGAATAAAACTGGAAGCTTATCTCACACCATATAAAGAAATCAACTCAAAGCACATTAAAGACTTAAACATAAAACCTGAAACTATAAAGCTGATAGAAAACACAGGGGAAAACCTTTTTGACACTGGTTTAGGTATGACCCCAAAAGCACTGTCAACAAAGGCAAAAACAGATAGAACTCAACCAACTCAATAGCATTAGAACAATAATTGGATTAAAAAAATGGGCAAAGAACCAGAGTAAACATTTCTCAAAAGATGACAAGCAAATGGCCAGTAGGTATATGAAAACTGTTCAATGTTACTAATAAAATTAGAAACACAGCAGGGTATCACCTTATACTTGTTAGAATGGTTATTTTCAAAAAGTCAAAAGGTAACAAGAATAGGTGAGGACATGGAGTCTACCTTCTATATAGTTGTATATTGTTGGTGAAAATGTAAATTAAAACAGCCATTACAGAAAAACACTAGGGAAATACCTAAAAAACTTTAAAATATAACTACCATATGACTTAACAATTCTATTGTTAGATATATATTTAAAGGAAACAAAATAAACACTCCCAGAAGATATATATACTTCCTTGTTCAATTAAGTATTATTTAAAACAGACAAGACATGGAAACAACTTATGTGTCCACTGACAGAAAAATGAAATTGAAAATGTGGTATACTGACACAATGGAGTATTGTTTACCCTTAAAAAAGAGAATCGTTTTGTGATAACATGGGTGACTCTGGAGGACATTATACTAACTGAAATATGACAGGCACCGGAAGAAAAATATTACATGATCTCAAAAATACCACACAGGCAGAACAGAATGGCGGCTGCCAGATAATGGGGGGCAGGGGATGATGGGAGGACATTGTTAAAATATACAAAATTTCATTTATGCAAGACTAATGTTCTGAAAATTTAGTATATTATATGGTGATTACAGATAGTAATATTGTATTGTGTAAATGAAATATGCTAGGAGAATAGAACTTATATGTTCTCACTACACACATGAAAAGAACATAACTGTGGGTTGATACATTAACTAGCTTGATTGTGGGAATCACTTCAAAATGTAGACTTATGATTATAATTTGTCAATTATGCCCCAAGAAAGGTGGGAAAACAGACAAAAACAAGGTAATTCTATTTTATTCTACAACCTGGATGACCCTTGGGGTCATTATGCTAAATGAAGTAAGGCAGAAAGAAAGACAGACAGACAGAGACAGAGACAGAGACAGAGACAGAATGAGTGATTTCACTTGTATGTGGTATCTACTTATCACACTTATGGAATCAGAAAGTAGAACAGTAGTCACCAAAGGCAGGGGGAGGAGGAAATGGGAAAACTGTGTTTCACAGGCAGAGCTCCAGGTTTTCCAATATGAAAAAAGTTCTATCTGATGCATGATAATGTAAAACACTACTATACAGTTGAAAATTGCTAATGATAAATGTGGTTTTTACTATAATTAACAAACACACAAAGGCTCATGTTAGATGTCTATCACTGTAACCAAATACGTGAGAAAATCAACTTACAAATGGAAAGGTTTTTAACCTATAGTTTCAGGGGTTTCAGTTCATGGTTTGGTCCTTTTGGTTTGGGCCTGAGGAAGAGGCAGAAAATCATAGCAAAGAACACATGGTAGAGCAAAGCTGGTTATTTCATGGCAGCCAAGAAGCAGAGAAAGAGAAGGACCAGGGCTTCAATATCCTCTTCAAGAGTATGACTCCGGGGGCTGGGGATTTAGCTCAGCGGCATAAGCACCTGCCTTGCAAGTGTGTGGTCATGAGTTCGATCCCTGGTACCAATAAAAATGAAAAAGACAAAAAAAGAAAAAAAAAAAGTTTGACTCCAGTGATCTATAGGCCCCACATTCTAAAGTTCCTGCTATCTCTCAATAGTGCCATCAGCTGGGAGCAACTTGTTTAACATGAGCTTAGGAGATATGAAAGATCCAAACCATAAGAGGAAATCAGACAAGTGAAGGAAAAAAAATTAAGACATTTGAATAGATGCTTTAAAAAAGTAATGATTAATGATACATGTATACGATTAAAACTGAACAGAAATAAACATACATATCTGCCTATAAAATTATTGACATATGAACATTATGAACGATATTAGTGTCAATCTGCCTATTGTGGTACTGAACTATTGTTATGTATGATATGACTAAGGGGAACTGGAATCTCTGTATTAGTTTTTTTTTTCTTTTTTTTTTTGGACTGGGAATTAAACTCACAATCTCATACTTGCTGAGGCAGGTGCTGCCGCTGAGCTATATCCCCAGCCCTCTATATTAGTTCTTAAACCATATATGTCAATCTATAATTATCTCAAAATAAAAGCTTAAACCTAAAAAAAAAGTCTCCAACAGTAAAATGATCATGCATACAACAGACTACTATGCTGCTGAAAAACAGAATGCTATGGAAAGATCAGGATCTATTAAGCCTCAATAAAACAAAACCCAACAATAACAAAAACAAAAAACCACCACCAACAACAAAACAAGGCATGGAGCAGTAGCTAGTATGCCATCTTTTTCCAAACAAAGAATATTTAACGATATATTTTTTT